AACTCCATAGCCCCTACACAAGTTCCTGCCTTGAGTTCCTGATATGCCTTCCCTGAATTGTGGGCTACAAGCTGTAAAATAAACCCTTTCTCCCCCCTCCACAAAAAAAGATGGTGCTGGAAGTATGACAGATGAAGAAGGCAAATGTACAGCCAAAAGTCTACCTTAGTGAATCCAATCATTCCATCTGTTATGGAAAATGTCTCCTAACCACTTCGCCAAATTTATATTAGTTTTTCCAGGAAATCAGAACAGGAGTCCCAGCTTCACTTCTTAATGATTTTTAACAAATGAGGTTTCATTTGCAGTACAAATAGGATCAACTTTAGTATGGGAAAAATTACAAAGTCAAGCCATAATGACCTCAGTAGCTGTTGTAACATCTTTGCTCATAAGCCTGTTCAGTAAGAACCGGATTGGGAAAGGAACTGCATGATTGGACCCACAGAGATAATCTCGTCTAAGTTATTACTGAAGCATTCTTCCACAGAATGATCCAGCTAGCAAGTCCTCATCAGGGCATCAATGCTCTCATGCTTTGTACTTATTCTAAGAGACCAATTCATACTTCTCTTCCCCAAGTTATAATTGTTATCCATCTTTCTACTTACTCTTTTTTAATACCTTCATATCTAACCTAGTCATCTGCATTGCCCATGAATTATTGTAAATTGGTATATCCTCTGATGAAGAGACTTTTTCAGTTCCTCCAACATATCCCTCAGACTAATTTATTATAAAATGGTCCTCTGCCATCTGCTTTATTAATTTGAAAACAAAGCAAAATCCTCCCCCACGCTGAATCATCTCTCTATATGAATGTTCTCTGAAGGGCATTCTAGAGGTTAAAGATCTATACCATAAGAGTAGGAACATTGAGTGTATTGCTTCTTCTTAATTCCCTTGTGTTTTTGAAATCTGGTAAATCTGAATTTTTATATACCAATATAATACGCTGAAGGAAAATTGCTTAATATAATTGACTATATGATAGAAAACAGCAATGCATTTAGAGCTCTGGTTACAGTTACCTGCTTATGTTTTACTCATGGCCAATAATAAACTAATAGGACACAAACTTGCAGTAACATCTGGTGTCTACTATTGCTCTCTTAGCTTGACTTCAGCCTACTCTATATGACAAGCTAATCTAGAAAAGATACCATAAACACCACTAGTTCTATCAATTCACAAGGGCCACATTATGGACTGATGTTTTAGAGCAGGAATGATTTCCTTGTTTTGGTTTCCTTATTGTAAATAGTTCCGCAAGTACTTCACTTCATAAGCATGGTAGAAACACATACTCATGCATCGCATTAAGAGAGACTGTTAGAAGATTGTCATTCTGGAGGACACATCTCAACAATCTCACAGAAGAAGTTGTAAGGAAATGTTAGGTCTCTGAGTTCAAATGTTCCATTTTCTATTCTCTACCACATGTAGGTATTAGCACACTGTTAGTGTTGTAGAAAAATGACTGAGGAAAATATAAGGAATAATAAGATAATATAAGGAATAATAAGATAATAGTAAGCCCTCAGGGATGAATTACAGCAACAAATGTAGGGTATTAACATTGTTTTATTTAAACACGGATTCCTTTTAACCTTAATTTGTTAGTTAATGTTTTATCAATTTGAGCAAACTTACAGTTATCTGAGAGAGGAAATCTAAACTAAGAAAACCGTTCTGTCAGATTGGTCTATAGGTAAGTCTCTGTGTCATTTTCCTCATTGGTGATCCATGTAGGAAAGCCCAGCTCACCTAAGGCAGTACCATCCCTGGGGAGGTGGTCCTGGGAGGTGACGAAAGATAGCTGAATGTGAGCTTAGAAAGCAAATCAGTAAGCAGCATTCCCTATGACCTCTGCTTTAGTTCCTGCTTCCGGGTTCCTGTCCTGCTTGAGTTCCTGTGTTGGTTTCCCTCAGGGACATATGACTATAGGGACTAAGACATAAACCAATAAACCCTTTCTTCCCCAAGCTACTTTTGGTCAGTGTTTTAGCACATCGATAAAAATCAAAATAAAATACTTATCAAATATGTATAGATAGCCATGCAGCAAGTCAACTTCAAGATACAGAAGACATTGATTTGGCCCATTACAGAGATGTGCATGAAACAGTAGTTCACCTAGAGTCCTGAAACACTTATAACCACCACCATGTGAGATCATTCTGTGAGCCCTACCTATCTGCCCTCGCACAAGCCAAACGGGTATTTAAACTCCTAGAAATCATCATTACTGTGCCTGTTAGGTTCTTCTTGGCAGCTGTAATTTCTGAAAGAGACTCATCAAGGTGGTATAATCTTTACCTTACCATTTTGTTAGCAGAGTCATGCTCCACAGACTTCCAAATGTTCTTCAGGGGTTTTTTGGGGGGGGGGAGGTTGTTTATTTTATCTTTGATTTTGTTTGTCTTAAGCACATGTATCAGGACAAGACCTAGAAATCTCTCATTTTATGA